TGGCCGAGAAAGTTTCAGTTCCACTTGTAGCTGAAGAGCGCGTGGGGTTTAGTTTTGACTCTGTGAGAACGAGAGCGGATGGCCATGCTTGAGTTCTTTTCGGTGAGAACTTGAACTAAGCCCTCTTTATTACAGGAAGGATCTGTGGACCGTGTTTGAAATAGGTTGGAAACACGCTTTGCGCCTAACCCTGCAGACAGAGCTCAGGGTCGGGATCCTCTTGACTTCTCCCTCGGGACAGCCCTTGGCAGCTGAGGCCAGGCGGGGGCGGGAAAGGCTCCGTGTCTCAGAAGGGGAATTAATGGGGATCAGGCAACCCACGGTTTGTTAAGAGATACTGGTCAGAGATTAGGCAGTCTCTTCATCAAATCTCTCTGAGCAGAACAGCCCAGGGCAAGTCTAACATCATAATCCAGCCCCATAATAGCACTATTGAGTTTTATCCATCTTGCCCAAGTGGGAAAGAAAAAGCTACTTACGGATGGGGTTTCATTTTGATGTAATTTTTGGGGACGAATCCTTCCAAACCCAAGAGCTCAGCTTTGTACCAATTCTGGTCCTCCTCCATGTTTAGAATCTGTGGACTCAAAAGGAGGAATAAGCAAACATCGGGCAGAAGCTGTGGGGGAAAAGTGGCAGAAGGCTGTGGAGGGGCTGGGTGGTAGCTGAGGTGGTGGTGGGGGGAGATGAACCCTCTTAAGTAGACTCCATCCTGGCATTGAGGAAGCCCAGGGGAATATTTTAGGTTCAAGTATAGATTATTTCCCCGAAGCCGAGTGGCACCAGGGTGCAGTCAAAATGGCTCTGCTTATTTCAGGTTCTAGGCACACTTTTTAGAAACACGGAACACTCTGTACAAAAGCAGGATTAATGTAATGCTCTTGGGGGTGTTTTTTAAGTTTGGGAATTTAAGCAAGGTAGATCAGAACTATATCGTCTCTCTCTCTCTCTCTCTCATCTATGTATCATCTGTCATCTCTGAGCTTGCTTCAGATGGCCAATTTTATTCAGCTGTCCAACTGGATCTGATTTTTGTGTATTTCAGAACAAATGCACTTGGGGCTTGATCTGCCAACAACCCAGACAACCCCCCTCCCCAGTTACCTTGAGGGTGTCTCCCTTCTTAAAGGCCAATTCATCCTTCTCGGACGCTTGGAAGTTATACAAAGCCAGGGCTTCCATTTGGGGGCTGGTCCTTCTCTGGCCCAAGCAAGACCTCAAAGACGCCACTTCTCCAGCCTGGTTGGCCCAACTCGGTTGTCCAGCAAAGGCCTGTTGAAAAAGCCAGCCTGGAGTTCCTTTGGAGAAGTTCCAGGCTGGGTTGCCTTTTGCCTTCTGTGTATAGCAGCACCCCAAAGTTTTACTTCCAGCCACGGGTCAGGAAGGTAGTTTGAGGCCAGAAAAAGAAGAGGAAAAAAGTCTGTGCGTAAAAATGAGACAGGAAATGTATTTGAATATGTTTGCTGGAGGGGTGTGCAAGTGTGTGAGGAACAAAGAAGCTGCACCTGCAGAAGGCAACCTCGCAGAGGGGAATTCCTCCCTCCTCTTCTCCCAGGGGGCTTCCTGCCCCCTGCCCCGCTTGCGCTCAAGGCAGGCGCGTCCGCTCGAACCCATCACCAGCTTCTAAAATGCGAAAACAACTTTTTTTTTCTCCTGGCCACAGCCACGAACCCAAGCAAGCCTCTTTCCCCCTCAGCTGGCTCCTGTTGCTTTTCTAGGGGAAAAACAAGTAACCATTTGTTGAATTTGTGTAGTGGATGCAAAAGGTAGCTCAGAAAGTTTCTGCTCTGATTTTTTGGGGGGGTCCTGCCCCCAAATCAGATTTTTCCATTGTCTTGCTGTCTTTTCCAGTGGATCTGCAGGATTATCCCGCCTGTTGGTCAGGAGGCTGGGGGCCAGTGGCCCTGCACCCAACCCCTGCCAGTTGCCCAGATGTGGGCACAAATCTTTCTAAAATGCCTCATTTGGCCACAAGGTGGCGAGAGGGCCTTGGACAACCTTCTGCTTAGGAAGCCGTCTGGTTAGTAGTTTGAAGTGCGCCAGATCAATCAATCAGAATAGAGCTGGAAGGGGCCTGGGAGGTCTTCTAGTCCACCCCCTTGCTTAAGCAGGAGACCCTATACCATTTCAAACAGATAGACGTCCAGTCTTTTTTATTTTATTTATTTATTTATTTTTGGATTTATATCCCGCCCTTCTCCCGTAGGACTCAGGGCGGCTGACAATCTATTTAAAATACATACAAAACAATACAAATTTAAAATTAATTAAAAGGAATATTTAAATATTTGTCAAATTTTAAAATATAATTAAAACCCCCCTAAAAATTACCCTAGGCCAGTCCTGCAAG